CAAGTGATTACCGGCCGGTTATGACCCTAACTTTTAGGGACAGGTTCGGGTTATGACAAAACATATTTTGAGACTATACATTTTTTTAGGACACGATCATCAGATCAATCTAATATTTTTCTCTGAAAGATGCATACTATAGAATGAACATTTTGGATTATAGAAGCGGGACCTTTAGTGGGCCGCGTGAACTCAAATTCTCTCAAATTCAAATTTAAATTTGAGATAAACCTAATCTTTTCTTTTCTTTTGATAGTAGATAAACTTAACCTTAATTTTAAAAGTTACAAATTGGTATTTTCTATTGAAACCGAATGGTCATATTCCTATAAATCTATACAAAATTAGATTGAATGGACACATCTATTCATTAAGAGACGTTTCACCTTCTATATAAGACAAATTCTCTATTTCCCAAGTTTCAAGTCTAGGAACAAATGGGACCTCGATTGGATTTTCAGTTAGAAAATTAGAAGGAAAATTGTAAAACACAAGACTTAAAAGGCCCATTCAGAGGCCGAAGTTGCGAAATGACCACTGAAACCATCGAAATTTAGTACGGTCAGCTTGCTCAAACCTAAATAGACTTGTAGGAACAAACGGGACCTCGTTTGGATTTTCAGTTAGAAAATTAGAAGGAAAATTATAAAACACAAGACTTAAAAGGCCTGTTCGGGGGACAAAATTGTGAAATGACCACCGAAATCGCTAAGGGCAACCTGCTCAAGACAAAATAAACTTGTATGAAATCAAAATTGGATTTCCCGTTACAAAATTAAAATCAAAATTGTGAAATTCATACCGAGTTTTTTTTTTTTTATGGTCAATCTAATATTGTTTTTCTTTTTCATGTGACAGATTGATAATGGTGGAAAATAGTTCATGTTGCATCAGAAGATTTGATTTTGTGTTTTTGGAAATATTTTGAAATAGGATTTTGGTAAATGACTTATGGGTTGGATGTTTAGCATCAAAATATTTGGTTTTGTGTTTTTGTAAATATTTTGACATAGAATTTTGGTAAATGACTTATGGGTTAGATGCTTAGCATCAAAATATTTGGTTTTGTGTTTTTGAAAATATTTTGACGTAGGATTTGGTAATGGATTTGTGGGTTTGATATTAATAGCTTGTAAGTACTTTGATATGAATGTTTCAGATTGTTAGAGAATTGTAATTATTTTTATTTAATAACTATTAATTTTGAATTATTATGAGTGTCTTGCACAAGTGTATTACTATTTACGTTGCTTTTGTGTATATATTGTGCAGAGAAAAACAGGTGTTTTGGATTATTTTGAATAAGAACATAATAAAAATCAAAATTTACGCAGTGAATTTTTAGTGACAGGTGATATTTTGGTTGCTGTTAATATATTTGGCGACAACATATTGTTTTTGTCGCTAAAAGTTGGTGGCTATTCCAAGAACTTTTAGCAACCAAAACTTAGTCGTCGCTAAAAAGTTGATTTTTAGCGATCAAATTAATTTTGTTACTAAATAGTACTTTCAGCGACAAATAAATTCGTCACTAAAACTACATAGCCTATCCAAATCTTAACCTTTTAGCGACAAATTAGAATTTTACAGTGACGAAATATATGATTTTTGGCAACCAATTTTGCTTGTCGCTAAATGTCTACATACGGTGACAATTTATGATTTGGTCGCCAACACTTTTAGTGACAAGCCTTCGGCAACCAATTGAGTACTTGTCGCCAATTCTTTTGACGACAAAATTTGTACTTTTGGCGACTAATTTTTTAGTCGCCAAATGTGCTTTTTGTTGTAGTGTCTCTCTCACTGAAAAGTGCAAAATCATCCATCAATAATTTTCATAGGGCAACAGTGATAATGGCAGTGTTGGCCTTTTTTCTACTCTCTGTTTTGAACTGTGCTTTCCTCTTTTTACTGCTCTCTCTCTCTCTCTCTCACACACACACGCACACACAACTAGGTCTTCACTCTACTAATTCCATCTAATCAGTTGTAATGGATTAAGGATAACGATTAATTTCGAGTGAGCTTATTTGATTAACAGTTATTGATTCGAAATTCGGATTTGTTTCTTTTTGATTTTCTTTGTTTGTCATTAGAATTCTTCCATTCATGGTTAAATTTCTTAAAAACACAATTTTTCAAACGTTGTTTACTAAAGGATTTGTGTTTTTTCATGTTGCTATGGTGATCTACAAATGGAGAAGAAATTATTGTTTGCAAATGTTTAAATGTTTGGATGGTCCTTCCAGAAGATAGAATAACATATACATAGAGCGAGAGAGAGAGAGAGAGAGATGCAGTTTGCCAACCATACAATTTTTACTTTTGGTTACTAATCAAGAAAGAGGAGAGAGATGCAGTTTGCCAACCATACAATTTTTACTTTTGCTTACTAACCAAGAAAGAGGATCTAACCACTTTTTGACAAATCATATTTATCATTGTTAAAAAAATTTACAAACTCAAAATTTTTTATTAAGAATTTGTTCAGAAAATAAATGTGTGGTGAAGATTTATTTAGATGTAAGATTCACCATTCAAAAATTGAATTGGATCATTCATCAAGATTCTCAATGAATTATGAGTTTAAGCTTCTTATTTCTTGCGATTTTTTCTTTGATATTAATCAACCAAATCACATTTGTACATTATCAGTTTGCTTTATATTAGTGTGTCTACGAATGTCTAATACTAAATCTCTTCCTCTCACTTTTCTTACACTATGAAATATTGTTTTTTGTTGTATACTGGTTTATAAATTCACATAGTTTGCAATGTATTTTTACTTAATTTGGGAACAATTAAGAGCAATTTTGTATATCTCCACTTTAAAGAATGCATAATTGTTGAAATAGCGATAGTTAAATTTTAGAGATAGGACATTATAACTTGTTACACCGGATCTCGCACTTAAAGGGGCAAAAATTCACACTTAAAATAATGATTGCATGCCTCTATTGATAAGTGAATCTTTCTTTATTTAACTTATTCTTTTACAATATTTTTATTCGTGTTTAATATTATATTAATTTATAGTAGTATTACATATAATTTACAACAATGTATTATCACACTTTCATTCTACTTAATTCTAATTATTTACATAGTATGATATTATGCCTCAAAATTTATAGACTTAATTACCACCAGCCATTCTTGAATTTTAAAAATTAATAAGTAAAATAGTAAGCGACAAAATCTTTGGGTATGCAGTATGCTTGCTTCATCTTATATGTAGGTTTGTCATAAGTAGTTGGCATATTAAATACTCTCATCACATTACCAAGAATTTCCAAAACAACCATGAAAGATTTTTATTGACTCATTTTTGTGAAAATAACACCCCTACATGATGCCAAAAAAAAAAAAAATTGATTTGTTTTCTTAGGTTTACAGTGATATTTACAAGTGAATTCTAAACATTTGTGTGAAGTTAATAGAAACACAATTTGTGTGATACTGTAGACACCCCATTTTTGACTGCCTGCAAGGCTCAAGCGCTTTGTCCAGTACACTCAATGATGAAAGTGGTGTTGTTCGTGGTCCAAGGTCTCAATGAAGGGGCCATGCTTAAAGCTCCGAAACAATCCCAAACCTTCCATATTCTCACTGATTATACCCAAAAAATCCATTTTTACACATTGTGCCACCCTATGCTAAGTCTAAAGCAGAAAAACAGAGGAACACATTGAGGCTCGATCGTGCCTCATTAAGGGCTAGCCGTGGCTATTGAAGGCCGGCTGTGCCTTGGTAGCGAGAAACACTGTTCTGGGCAGGAGCCTACTAGCTGTCCATTTTTGAAGATGTTTATGACCCCTCTTGCTCAAATTCTATAAAAACGACCATATATCTTTATTTTGAGGGTTGAAGAATTTCAAAAAAGCCTCTACATCTTCTTGAGAGCTCCCTCTTCTCCTTCTTCTTGTGCAAGCAACACGTTGAGCAAACCTATCACCTTGAACCTATATCCATACACCATATACACCTTCACAACTTAGTCTAGGAACCTTGGTTGAGCCTTAAGCACCATAATTCAAGCTTGAGAGTGTGGTGAGACTTGGTTTGATCCATAAGCAAAAGCTCACTTCTTTGAGAGGTATAAGCTTGTCATTATCTCTTTTACTTCTTGTTCTTATACTTACTATCTAGTTTTTGTAGTTTCATGTTGTTTTGATTCTCTTCCAAGTGTTTGAATTTGGGTTTGGAGAGCTACCAAAAGCGGTGAGAGAGTATACACTCTTTTTTACCTCTTTCCACACCTTTACCTATAGCTCAAACCCTTACTTTTACACTCTTTTTTTTTGCTTTCTAAACTAATTTTCAGAGTTAAAAAAAGGGCTAACAATCATGCCACTACAAGAAATTTCACTTTTGGCGACTAAATTTTTAGTCGCCAAAAATTTTGCCCGACTAAATATTTTGGTCGCCGGATTGGTGGCGGGAAAATCGTTGGGGAAGGAATTGGCGACTAAAAAATATTTAGTCACCAAAAACTAATATTTTTAGTCTCAAAAAATAATATTTTAGTCGCCAAAAATCTTATTTTCTGCTACTAAAACTTTGGTCGCCAAAACTTGAAGTATCTATGGCGACCAAAGTTTTAGTCGCCAAAGGGTTTTTTTTTTCAATCCAACTTATTTTATTTTATTTTATTTTTTTTAGCTACTAAATTCTTAGTCGCCTAAAGTCTGCTTTTATTTTAGCTACTAAATATTTAGTAGCCAAAAGTTTTTCTCTATTTTATTTTTATTTTTAGCTACTAAATATTTAGTAGTCGAAAGTTTTTTACTCCATTTTTAGCTACCAATTGTTTAGTAGCCAAAAACATCATTTTATTTTTTTAAAAAATTAATTTGTCGTTGCATATATCCCATGCAATCTATAACAAGTATACAAACAAAAGAATATATATATATATATATATATCTATATATATATATATATTATCACCCATTCCACAACCTGCATCTATTTCACTTACAACCATCCAAACAAAAGAATAACTTTTAATGTCAACATTGCATAAAAACCAAGTATATTCCAACTTCAAATAATAATTTCATACAAAACCAATAATGATATGAGCTACCGGTGACATCTATACACCAGCTATATATAAAATCAAAAGACTTGAAAAATTCACTAGAATAAATCAAGCTCAACAAGAGCAATCATAACTGCAGCCATCATTATAAAAGCATCCATAGCATTTACAGTGGGAGTCCCCCATTGCCATGGATATGGAAACCTTATCCTGCATGTTGAGAAATAACAGAAGCCCTTAGTATTGTTACCATCACTCCTGGATGACCATGGATGTTCCCCGATCTTTCACTATACGCTCATCATTTGGAAGGTTGAATGCAACAGTTTGAGGGCCCTTCACATCCTGCCATAAAAATGGAGTTCTCAAGCTTCAGTTTTTCAACCAGATAGTTCCAGTAAAACTTTGTACAAAATGGGAAACATCAGGTTCTGAATAAGAGATGGCTTAAAAAGAGGCTGAAAAAGAGATGGCTTAAAACTAACTTCAAATAAAAAATTCAGGGAAATTACTCTATGAAACTTTGATAAAAATTATCCTCCTCCTATACGAATCTCATGCATACATGCAACCACACCCACACCCACACCTACACCTGCTCACACGCGCGCATGCACACACACACACACACACACACAAAAGACTATCTTTGGAAAGAAAGAATAAGATCAATAATCACAAAAATATGGGCCATATGATTGAGATATACTAACTCAAATCTGAATTGTTGCTTGCTACCTTTAAAAAAAATACGTACATAGAACACAGATGACAATTACACCATGCCAGAACCCGTCTTAAAACAATGGAGAGGGAAAGCCAAATGTGTTTGTCAATTCATTTTCTAATAAGATGAGTGGGAGCAACATCATAGATCAGAACCTCTCAATATGCATGTTGGATACAAAGTAGAAAGAGCTTCTGAACTTATCTGCCTCTCATAGAACACCAAGCACGCTGATGATGCGCACTTCACCCCACTTCCAGAGGCCAGTCCCCTTCTCCACAATGCTGCGAAATAGGGAAGAGAATTAACATTAACCATCAACTAGATAGTTTTTAACTCAAAGCAACAACATGTCTGAGAAGAAATTCAAACATTTGTGCACACTGTTACATACACACGTGCAAGCACAGAAAGAGAGCTTGTATTAGATGGAAGCAGGAAACAGAGACAAAAACCAGTAATGACAAGGAATTTTTTAAATGATTAACAAGAATTCAAGAATTGAAAGAGGCAAATGATTCAAACTAGGAGGTGATCATTTTGTAAGTAATTGAATATTTCCCAATTCGGCACAATATCTGTAAATAAATTTTAAACATCAGACATATCATGGTACCTATTGAAAAGCCTCAATGTTCTAAGAATTCTTCAAAATTTATAATTTCTAAATTCAGCACAATAATGAATGAATTTAAAATATAAGATAACATCTCATAATACCTAATGGAAAGGATCATATCTTAGGTTTTCTTCGTAATTTATTACAATATTTTCACACGAAAATTTTGGCTAAAAACACAGGAAATTAACCCATGAATAAATGTATAAACAATAGATCATGGCGTATACAAGCAGATGTAGACATTACAACAACTAAAATATTCAATAAATAAGAGACTAAAAATGAATGGATGAACTAACACAAAGAACTATAGAAACTATTAAATCCTGGGGTTTCATTGTAGTCTACGAAAATTATCATGATACTCGATGTAGCAAGGTGTTGCATCTCTTTTTCCAGTTTTGCAGTTCTTGCAATGATAGGTTGCAACAGCAGTTTCATTTTTTTGATTAGCTGCAACAACAACTTCATATTCTTTGAATATTTACCACATAAGTGAATTGAAGCCTGGATCAACCCACTACATAATAAGTACAAAGTTGCTGCTACTACCATACTCAAACCCGCATTCTCATTTTTGACAGCCCAACCATATTTTTTTACTGCACCAAGCAATGGCCCCTACAAATAATAAAATTACTTTTTAAAGGAACTTTAAGAGCTTAAGCTTACTCTTTCCTTTTTCTTATTCTTTTTGGGCCTTCTTTATATTGTTAACATGGTGGATTGAAGGCGTGCTCCGATGTTCATTTATTGATTTAATTTTTTGTTCGCGAAAATGAAGTACTATTATGGATTCAGATAAATCGTATACAAATTTTTGTAAGTTGTCATAATAATGTCTCCATTTTCATGGTTTCTCTTAGTAATTCATACTTAATGAGAGGAACTTTTTATACACAAGAGGTTCACTTTTCTTTCATCTTCAAATATACTTATCACTTAAAAAGGTGTGTTAAAAGTTTACAATTATGTAGTTGTTGTGTTGCACTTTAGGACCAAACCACAGGAGATGGAACCATAAGGGGGAATGTGTTTTTGGGCCTAATACAGGTGGTAAAATGTAATTTATCCTTAAATAATGCAGTATTGTCGACCTATTAAAATTCTAAGGCTCTGAGTCTCTTGATCAGTAGTGAAGGAGAAATTTCTACCTGCCTGTGTCACCATCAATTACTTTAGTCTTCCACTAACATTATTACTCAATCAATAAGAAACTCTAATAACCAGAAACCCATCATCCAATAAACACTAACCTAAACGAATCTAACAAGAAAAAACCAACACTTTTTTTACTTTTGAAATTTAAATTTACCAATCAAAAAATCAACCCAATCAAAAACCCAAAAAAAAAAAAAAAAAAAAAAGTTTCACATCTGATTGTCAATTTGTGTGTTTCATTTCGGCATATGGTCGAGCACATGGTGGGCACATCATTAAACAGTTGTGAGGAACAAGAGAAGAGCTCAAAATAGACAAGTTTAAATTCATTGCACAATAGACAAGAAGAAGAGGATGAAAATTCACAACAATTACAAGCATAGATCAAAAAAACATGCTATACATAGGTTCCATATCATCAATTTTCAGTCGAAGATCTATAGATACACATATATACATATATATATAGAGAGAGAGAGAGAGAGAGAGAGAAAGCATATGCGAGACAGAGCATCAATGGAGCAGAGTTCTTCTCAGTGATGAAGCCTCTGGATCTTGCAGCGGTGGCGGTGGATCTGTGAAGACCGGCGGAGGAGGAGGAGGCGGCGGTGTGAAAAAAGGGCAGCGACGGAGGTGGTAGCGGAGGCAGTGGTGGTCGCAGCAGTCACGATGGCGATGGCGGAGGAGGAGGAGGTGCTCTGGTTGCTGGCGAATGCGAAGAGGAGCGGCTGCGGGACGGCAACACAGCTGGACTCCTTAACCCTTCATCTTCTAAAACGAAAAGATGACCCTAATATTTTATTGGAGAGGTATTGATCTCACCCGTTGGTTATTCAAGTCATCTTAGCCATCCGTTTTACATCCTTGCTAACTAAAACATAGCTTCGTCGTTAATTAAGTAAGGAACCTGCCAATTAATTTATAAAACCCTCTAAAATTTAAAAATTCCTCCAAATATTTTAGTTTTTTGGTGACTAAACTTTTAGTCGCCAAAGATAAAAAAAATATTTTTTTATTTATATTCGGCGACTAACTATTTTAGTAGCCAAAACTCGATATGCGGCGACTAAATTTTTTTTTTGTCCCTGAAAATAAGTTTTTGGCACCAAAGATAAAAAAATATTTTTTTATTTTCCATTCGGCGACTAAATGATTTTAGTAGCCAAAACTCGATATACGGCGACTAAAATATTTGTTGTCACTGAAAATATGTTTTTGGCGACCAAACTTTTAGTCGCCAAAGATAAAAAAAAAATTATTTATATTCCATTCGGCGACTAAATGGTTTTAGTAGCCAAAACTCAACATATGGCGACTAAAATAATATTTTTGTCGCCAATTCTGGTATTTTTAGCTACTAATTTTTTTTAAGTCGCCAATAATCAATATATCCCGACGAAAAATAATTAGTAGCTAAATATTATATTTTTGCCGACTAAAACAATTTTTAGTCGCCAAATGTGCATTTTCTTGTAGTGTGCTTTGAGGTTTCAAAAGTTGAGGGGTTAGCCACCCCTCCTTGTTCTTGTTTACTAGCCTTGTTTTCTCTCTTTGTTGATTAACTTTTTAGGCTCTTTTCATGCACTTTGAGCCACTGTTTTTCATCTCTTGAGGGTTGTTTTTGGGCTATTCTAGGTTGTTTAAATAGTTCATGCTTTGATTAGCTTGAGTGTTGTCTCATAAGTTTACATCCATAGCTTGTTGTATATTGTTCTAAACTTTTCCTTATCTAATTTCCATGTTTAAGAATCTCATTTTAATAATCAATTTTCCATTCATCTCTTTCATTGGAGAGTTGTTTCAATCAGTTGACGGTTATTCAAAATGTGAACTAGCGATTTATGCTTAATGGCTTAATCTTTACGGAGGTTCATTGCCAACGGTGTAGTCCATTTTTCGTGTTGTGAATCGCCTCATGTTTGACATATTTCTCACTTAGTGGATGTAATCCTTAGTGGACGTAACAATCATCTTGGACTTAATGGATTAAAGAATGGCAAAGACTAATGAATTTGGTTTAAAATGAATCAACCCACATAAATAAAATGAATTATATTGCTTAGGGTTCGGCCAGATGTTATGCCGAATCCATTGTGTCAAGGGTTGTTTTACATCAATCCATGATGTTTTGATGAATCTTGAAGCGTCTCTACCTCCTCTTTGAGTTCACTCTATGATAGGAGGGAGGGGTGGTTGCTATCATTGCATTTATTGATTTTTTGTCTAAATTGTACCCGAAATCATCAAGCAATCAACTTGCTCATTGATGGTTTTGGAAACGATTCTAACCTTTTCTCAAGGCTTTCCCATGACAGAGAAGTGTGAGAGAGACAAACAGAGTTCAGAACACTCTGTCTGCACTGTCTTCACTTCAGAGCACAAAACAGAATTTTGCATGACATTGAGGCACAGCCAGGCTTCAATGAGGGTCGGCTGGTCATCAATGTTTGGTCAGCAATGTATTTTGCAGAAAACAGAGGGCAATGGCTGAAGGTGAAACAGGGCAAGTCTAGGCAAATAGAGTTGTTCTTGGACATTATGTATGCAACCCTTGCGCATCCTTGCTTACATCATAATCATTGTTGTTATTACTGTTGTTATAATTAGTTTTGTTAATTATTAATGTTGTAATTATTATTATTATTATTATTGTTTGTAATTGTTATGGCTAGTTAGCTAAAATAGTTAGTCTACTTATCATAGTTGTCCTTATTGTAATAGAGTAGGTAGCTAGTTAATTCTTCGCTCATTTATTCATTCGGTTTTGTAATAATTAGTTTAATTTGGACTTTCGGACTTTGATTCGCACCATCTTGCACGAGGGCAACTATGTAATAAGTTGTATGTATTCCAACCCAACGTCTTTCTCCCTTTTATTTACTTGCTTATGATGGTTAGTATAAGACATCATTTTTCAAATTAACATTCTTATGCTTTGCATCCGTTGTCTTGCATGCATCCAAGGCTTGGCTCATCATACTAACCCAATATCAATGTTCAAATTCATTACTTGAATATGTGCTCTATCGTATGTCTTGAATGAAATCATATGTCATGCTCAGAGCTGAGCCTATAAAATACATAATCTGTGCATTGCATTTAGTCATATTGCATTAATTAGGAACATGCATATTTTTCTAATTATTTTGCTTTGTTTTGGCTCGAAGTACTAGGTGAGCAATTTTGTGTTTTAGCATATTGCATGGAATGTCAATGTTAGCATGTCCAAGCATACTTTTATGAGGCTAATTGCTTAATTGATATAACTGTTTGAATGCCTGTGGATGAAGGCTAGTTGCCTGAATTGGGATAGTTTGATTAAGGTCCATTTTAAGCCCACTTTTTTTCAAGTGGTAAATTCACAAAACTATTTCAAATAAAATATGAAATCGAATGTTCCAATTCTTGCAAATTATTCTATATTTTTGTGTGCTTCACATAGTAAAGTTAGTCTAATAAATCGGAACATGAGCATATAATGTAAATAAAAATCACATTATGATTAGTAGAGGCCGATTTTTGATCGGGCGAGTGGGGTGCTCAATTCATGACCTTCTCCTCTCGTACCTAAGTTCTTGAGCTGAGACATTTTGGTGATGACAGACTAATGGCCTTTGGCACGAGTCTTGGGTTTCCTAAATTTTCCAAAAATATTTAGGTGGCGACTCTGAAATCTAGTAAAGTAGTCTAGTTTTGGTATTTGATTATGAAAAATCTAGAAATCCCCCCTAGATATTGATTTGTGATTATGTAATAATTTTAAGCAGTATATAACAATCCCAATCAAACAATCAAGACAAATCAACACAACGATTTTAACGTGGAAAAACTACAATTGGACCCCTCCAACTGTGATTAAAAAACCACGAACAACAGCCACAAAACAATCCACTAAGAAGATTTAAAGGAATTACACAGGTATACTCTCAATTACCTAGCGAATCCACGCCTAATTGAACCAACCTCTATGTGCCTTTTCCAACCCCGTTTTCACCTCGGAATTGTCTTTACGATGAGCCACTCCAGAATCCACCGAAGCTTCAGGCTCGAATTCTTCAGAATCCACCAAAGAAACTATTTCATATAACTAGTGGGAAGTAAAATAATTTCGTTATAAATCTACTTATCATTTCTGATGATAAAACATAATTTAATAGTAAAATAACGGGTGAAACATCAATAAATTTCAAAATGTAATCTTGTGAATGGTTTAATCCTCTCTTTTTTTCTTATGAACAGTATCCCCAGATATAAACCTTAAGAACCAAAAAGAAGATCTGGAGGAATTCAATAGTTTTGGGGTAAAACCAACTATTTATAGAAGATCCAAAAGTAATCCTAGTTTTGGAAGAAATCCAATTACTTATAGAAATCCAAAAGTAATCCTAGTTTTGGAATAAAATAAACTTCTTAAAGAAATCCTTGTCAAACGGAATTGCCAATAATAAAACCTAACAATCTCCTCATTTGGCAATGCCGTGACAAAACACACCTGACAAATAAAATCCTAAACACCCCAACCCATTACAGCCAACAAAAACAAACTTCTTTATCAAAGTCATGATCTGCAAAACAGCTATTAGTGCCACAATCTCCAAAACAACTATTAGTCCCACAAGAGTATAAGAAAAAACAATAAACATAGGACAAGATTATCTTGAAACATGAGATGCAAAACATGAATAGATGAAAACTAAGACTCATGAAAAACAACTCTCAAACAACAAAAGCAAGATCATAAACCAACAACAAAAGCAAGATCATAAACCAACCCAAGTCAAGATGAACCAAACTCCCCCTCACTAAAAGCAACCACAAACACTGAAAACAATGAACAAGAAGAAAACGACAGAAATTATGGTGGAGCAAGCAAGGAATTTCAGATTTGTACCTTAAAACACTCAAGATTATCCAAGAAGCACAATTATTAGTAAACACAATGTGCACAGTCTGTAGAAAATTCCTCATAAAAGAAAGTGATGCATTATGTGAAAAGCATAGATCTCATGAGAAAAGTGTGTGTG